GCACCTCTATTTTGCAATGGAATTGGAAAGCCAAGTGCTGTCGAGTCATAGTTGTAGATAGTTTCTTTAAAATAGGAACAAGCAGTGTGGTTTATTCCACTTCATTAAAAAAGAAATCAGCAGAATAATGTATTATAAATTTTCTCTTTTTCTGAATTTGTTTTTTCTGGGAAAGTGTATGATCTTTTTGGGACAGGGAATGAAGAAAAAAAATTTTAAGAAAAACTCTTTTTAAAATGTATCTAAGGAATTAAAAGTTGAGGAAAATTTTTGTACTTTGGCCATAGAAAGAAATTTTTCCTTCTGTTTCACTAAATTGAAATACTATGTTCTCCTCAAGTCATGTAATTCAAATATTTTATATACAAGGACTCCTGAAGATCGTTATTAGCATTCTCTGCCCAGCCTTTCTGGCCTGAACTCTTTGGTTTCCTGATTCTTCAAGCACTGAGCAGTAATAGCATTTCCCTCATTTTGAGACTTTGCCATCACTCACATTTTCTCAAGGCTTTAGGAACTATAAATTTGGCTAGCTGGCAAACTTTTTGGTCCTATTTATATACATCGGGGAAACATTATAGGACCTTCTCCCTGCCAACCCTGGGGCTGCTTCCCCCCCACCCCCCACTGCTTTTCTCCAATGTAATATTTCAGGAGAGCACAAAAGTTGAAAAGTGACAACAATGTGAAGAACCGCATAATACAAAATTTCATCCTGACACCCTTTATTGATTCATCCTTTTAGGAACCCTATAAACTGTTCTTTCTCCACTCTAGACATTAATTCCTTTCCTAGGGGAGGACAAAAATTGAATTAAATTTCTTGAGTGCCTATCATGCCAGATGTATTAGTTATATCATTTAATCTAAAGGCCATAACAATGTTACACATAAAAAACAGGAGATACAGATATTATCCATGTTCATAGAGCTAAGGACTCTTTAATAAATTACTCTTTCATTCAAATCCTTGCCCACTTACCTCGGGAAAACCTTTGCCTATGCTTATCTGTTTCAGTCCCTTTGCTAATCAAGTCAAAACCAAACTGAACCAAAAACACCATTAAGGGTAGTTATATGCTTGAAACCAAAAGAAAGCAGTATGTTGTGAACAAAAGCCTACCTAAGAACTTCCACAAACTTTTTTGACCTTGAAAGTTGGTTTAAAATTTTTTTGAAACAAGCATTATATCTCGTTTTCTTCCAAATACATGTCTGTCCTCAGGCTCTGACATTCAAGATAAATAAAACACTTTCTAATTTAATGCTACTTTGATTACTAGTATTACAATACTTTTTCCAACATTTAATTCCTCCCAAGGGCCTTAGATCTTCCTAGGGTCTTAGATCTTATGTGGCAGACTAGCAACTTACATCTTTGTTTATATGGAGAGAAATGCTCTGAAAGTTCCAAAGAGCCAGTGCACAAATACTTTGTGGGACACAAGGTTTTAAGTTGGGGACTGCTAGTATTTATGGAATGAGCGTTCAAAACAAAAATGGATATTTCAACACAAGCTTTCAGGGGCAGAAAGTACTCCTTGATTCAGCCTCTTATTCCTACCCATCCCTTCCCCCCACAAAACACACACACACACACACACCAAAAGGTAACAGGAGTTCTATAAAAATAATCTGCTACTCAGACAGTTCCAAAGTAAATTGATGAGAGAGGGAAAAAAGAACCAGAGATATGACTGTATTCCTTATATGGCCACAAGTTATTATTATTCATAGTTATTTTAAAACTTTGGTTAATTCTCATCTTAATAAACTTTATATAAAATTCAGTTGCCCATTGAAGTATTGAAATTTCAAGAGTAATGTTCACAATGAACTTTTTTTTGCATATTATAATTGAGTCTTTTAAAAATAAAAGCAAAAAATCTATTCTAACCTGGACTTGAAGACAATTAGGAAATCAGCTGTAGAAAGATTTTACCAGAAATCTAACTTGTTGGAGAATTTCAGTAGTTAGTTATTATATATATATATGTTAAGTTCATTTCTTTTGTTAGTTTTTAAGTCAGAAGACACAAATTGTCAAAAGTATTCTTCCATAAACTTCTACCTAGTATGTTCTAGAAACTTCCTAAGAAATATTCTTGCACTTTAATTTTTGAGAACTTTACTTTATAAATGTAGTAATTCACCAGTTTTTATAAAAATATCACTTTTCCCTCTGTAACCTTATTTATAATTATTATTATATTTAATCTTAGACATATTAATATAAAACATGTACCCTTCGTTAAATGTTATTCTTAAAATAGAGAAATCCAAGCAGCCAAGTAAGTTAGCGATTTCTTTGTACTTTTGAAGGGACATCTTTAACCAAAACTAGGTTTAAAAATTACTTGATTCTCTATAGATTTTTATCTTGAAATATGAAAATTTACAAATTGTCCAAGAAAGATAAGAGATATAAGCATTGAAAAAGAAAAAAAGTGAGAATTAAGTTTGCAAGCAAACTTGCAAAAGGTCAAGGGAGTTGTACTTCAGGACTGGCTGGACAAATAAGAAAACACAGCAAGTATTTAAACAAAAAAACAGCACAAAATTACTAAGGTTGCTAAATTTACATCAGACTATTCATAATGAGAAAACGACACTTTATTACAATCATTGTATTCACAAAGATCATGACAAATCTTCAGGAAGATATGGTGGGGAGCCTGGATTTATTGGACTTAGTCAAGGTTTTACTATATGGGGACCAGAATCAGTCACCTTTATTATTGCTCCATCTCAGGATACAAAGCATTGTTTTTCTACCTGTAGAATGAGAAGTGTTTGTGGAATTGAAATCAGGGCAAAGTGTCAGATTTTGCTTGTACAAATGGAATTTTTACTTACCAACCATTCTGTACTCCTCTCTTATGGTGAATTCACAGGGCTATGTGTGGTTATTTTAAAGGGTTGTACATGGCTAACTTAGTTGATACGTCTCCTTTAAATACCTTCTTTGTGATTTTTTTTTAACTTGCTTTAGCCAAAATATTAGCACTCCCTTGTATTCTCATCCTAGCTAACAGACTGGTACCATATCCTGTGATCAACCACCCATGCTTATTTCTTGTGTAACAAATCATTAAAGCCAGGCTTATAACAGATCTGTCTTATAAGAAATACAGATAATAAGAAAGCAATCTTAAAAGAAGCTTCATAAAGGTGAAAAAAAATAAACAGCAGTTACTTTAAAAGATTTAGGCACAACTTAAATAAATCAAATGTAAAGTTTGTAGGGAAAAAAATATCTTTAAGTCCATATGCCAAAGACGTTTCCACATAGGCAATGGGGTTTAAATGCCCAAACTGGTTTAGTACCAAATGTTTATAACCTCCTCTCATCACCATTTTAAAATACACTTAAAGTAGATTTTCTTTCTTTTCTGCAATGCTTAGTAATTTAAAGTTTATTTTTTTGCTTATATTTCCATTAAAAAAATGTAATAGTTAAAATAATAAATTATCCCCACCCCCAAAAGAAATCATAAAGAGATTAGCTTTTAGGGTAATTAAACCTAATTGGTTATTTTCTATTATTATCTGTTATCTATCCATGAGGTAACTCAATTTTGAGGAGATAATTGGAAATAAATATTATTTCACAGTGAATCAAACTTTTCAGCCTATCCACAATTTGCAAATGCAGTTTGAAACAAAAATTACCATTCCATCATTAAAAAAAAAATTATAGTTTTCTTTATCAGTCCTTCTAAACTTTGTTACCCTGCTTGGATATGCTGCACTCTTCTGGGCATAGAATTTCATAGCAGGTAAAAAAATAATCAAGCTTTATCAAGCAATAATTTTCCATTAACTGAAACTGTGGGTGTATGACTCCTTTTACATAAAACAAATACACAACTAATGATGGTTAAAATGAATACCTAAATGAAAACAGTAATAAGGATTTTTTTATTTTGCTTTATATTTTCTCATATAATCTAACACCTGAGAACAATTATATTATGGGCATTTTCCTGAAAGGTGCCAGCTGTTTCCTTTGTTTTAACAAAACAATCAGAAACAGAGGCAAAATCACGTTTCCAGAGAAGGGTGAGGGACGGAACAAGGCTGCTGCAAGCTAGCTTTCAGAAATGGAGGAGAGTCAGACAACTTTTTTCCTCTCTGATAATTCTTTATTTTGCAGAGCAACTGGGAAATTACGAACACATTTTAGAAAATAATGCTGTCTTGAAAACAACCTCTATTGGACAAAGTCCTCCTTATTTTCCTGGAAGTAGTCAAATTCAAGACTTAATTTCAACACACTGTTCACATTTATCACTTGACGCTGTGGCAACGTAAAACTGTCTTCTTTAGATGGAAAATTTTTATGAGGTAAATGAATTTTGAAAGTGGGAGTGGGTGGGGGAGGTACACAACTTTTTTCTTTTTTTAAAGGGAGAGGATGCATGCAAAGAATCCTAAGCAACCACAAAGCCCTAAGTGTCTCTTAGGATGTAAAAGGCTGTTACACCAGAGAGCCCAAAAGCTCTCTGGATCACAGCTCCTCACGGAAGGACGGTTGGTTTAACTGCTCCCAGGCACCGGGGGAATCCCTGCCTTGGTAAAAAGAGGGTGATTTGCAGAAAAGCAGCGCTTCATAACGACGCAGCGTCCAGTGATTTTCTGCGAGACCCAGCCCTTCTCCGGATCCCCTCTCGGCCGGCTCCACAAGGGGACCGCAGCGCTGTCCCGTGCCAGCCACGGAGCCTCCACAGCCACTCGAGAGCAACCACCCCCTGAGACCCCGGCTCGAGCACAGCGCAGGACAAACTGCCCGACTCTGGCCGCGGCCCGCCCTCCGCCTGGTGTCCTGGGCCACGGCAGCGGGTCTGACCGCCTCCACCTCCCCGCCCACCGCCGCTCCCGCCCACCTCGCGCCTCGGAGACCCACGACCCGCCCGCCCCCGGCCAGGCCCCGGAGAGGCTGCGCTTCCCGTAAACGCCCCGCCCCGCGCGGCCCCCTCCCCGCCTCGGTTCCGCCCCCGAGGGACCCTGAGCGCTGCGCGATTGGCCCGGGCGCGCCTTCAGTCTCCGGACGCGTCGCCGCCCTCGTTTCCGACCGCCCAGAGACCGGCAGTGGCATTGGTGCTGGCGGGGCCGCGGTAGAGGGCAGCGTGCGCCCTGCTCGCTACTGCTCACCCGCGGGTCGGCGCGCTCGCCCAGCTGAGGGGCGACCAGAGCTGCGGGGCGGCCGGGCTGCACCTCAGCCGCCTCCTGGGAAGCAGAGGCAGCCAGTCCCAGATCCGGGATGGGGAACGGGCGAAGTTGACGAGCCCCTGACCCCCACTGCGCCCCTTCTGCCCCGAGGAGTGCTGCCTTCCCCAGGAGGTCCCGGACACGGCCCTGCTCCAGGTGTGCGCGGGACACCCTGCGTCCCGGGGCCCGAAAACTTCACCCCAAGTCCGCAGAGTGGGCTCCGAGGGCGGTGCCCGGAGCTAGACTCTCGACTACGCTCGCGGGGAGCGTATCCTGGAGGCTCTTGCGGCCGTCGGAGGGCGGAGACCCACTGGAAACTTTATCACCATCACAGTAATTACTACGTGTTACTGTTTCTCTCCCCGCAGGGGCTGCAGCCAACGGGCTGTCGCGCGTGCTCCTTCGGCGAAGGAGACCCCCAAGGGCGGAGACCACCCGGAGAGTTGCTTCCCCAGTGGATACCTGCAGCCCAGCCGACGGGCTTGGGCGGCCTGGATGCGCAGGACCCAGCCCCGCAGCCGCTGACGCCGGGCGGCGGCGAAGTTTGGCTGCTGAGCGGCGCGGCGCGGGGCCACTGCACGGAGGGCGGCCGGGCGGCCGCGGCGGCGGGCGCGATGCCGGTGGGGGGCCTGTTGCCGCTCTTCAGCAGCCCCGCGGGCGGCGGCCTGGGCGGGGGGCTCGGCGGCGGCAGCGGCGGCAGCAGGAAAGCATCGGGCCCCGTCGCTTTCCGCCTCACGGAGAAGTTCGTACTGCTGCTGGTGTTCAGCGCCTTCATCACGCTTTGCTTCGGGGCGATCTTCTTCCTGCCCGACTCCTCCAAGCTGCTCAGCGGGGTCCTGTTCCACTCCAGCCCCGCCCTGCAGCCGGCCGCCGACCACAGACCTGGGCCTGGGGCGCGCGCCGAGGACACGGAGCGAGCTGGGCGAGGCGAGGAGGGCGCGCCCGGGGACCAGGAGGCCGCCCTGGAGGACAACTTGGCCAGGATCCGCGAAAACCACGAGCGGGCTCTCAGGGAAGCCAAGGAGACCCTGCAGAAGCTGCCGGAGGAGATCCAAAGAGACATCCTGCTGGAGAAGGAGAAGGTAGCGCAAGACCAGCTGCGTGACAAGGCGCTGTTCAGGAGGCTGCCCCCGGTGGACTTCGTGCCACCCGTCGGGGCAGTTGGCAGGGAGCCGGCCGACGCAGCCATCCGCGAGAAGAGGGCAAAGATCAAAGAGGTGGGTGTAAAGTTCTTGAAATCCCTCTTGATGGCCGGGGTTTTTTTTTTTCGGGGACGACAAACCTTTGAAACTCTCAAGACTAGCATTATAGTGTAGGGGGATGCGGAGGTTTCCACATCCACCCAGGTTCAGTGTCAAAGACTTTCGTTTCCCTTTTTTCAGTATCATATATGTGGCCAATTACTATCTGAGGACTGATTCTCGTTGCTTTTAACTTGCATGCTCAGATGAGCATATTCCACTCGAGGTAGGTATTAAATACACGGGCAGGTGGTTTGCAAACCTCCTGTCACTGGCGGATACACGGTTAATCGTCCCTGAGAACAGTGACAGTGAAGGTCTCAACCAGCAGTCTGATAAGGCGTGGAGTGGCTTTGAAATGAAGCTTGAATGTAAACGTAAAACATCAATCACACGTGATAACAATGTTCTAACAGCAAGCCAGCATGCCCGGCTTCCAGTCATGTGGTCTCATTATGCCAGGTGGCATCTTATGTGTATTTACAGCCTATAAAGGTGAAACTTGAGAACTTCCTATCATAGTGGGCATACGGTTGTTTACTTTTTTTTTTTAAGGATAAAAAGTCAGCCTACTGCCTTTTGCATTTCTAGTGTAGTCAGAAAAGTCTAATTCCCGTGATGCAACAGGTTTGCCTCCACAGCAGCACGATGATGACAAACTTCATCCAGGACAAACATGGACTGTGATAAGTCTTTCATAGTTTGTTTCTCGAAATTTTCAGTTACAGCTCACTAACAGCTGGTTTAAAGATGAGGAGGACCTTAAAAGTCATTTCACACTGTGATTTTTAAAGATGAAAGTTGAAGGGCCCAGAACTCCAGAACCAGTTAGTGACCGAGTTAGGTACTTAAAACCTGGACTTCCTCCCTGTCACCTGTCATCAGGCTGTCTGTGGACATGCCTCCTTCTACCAGCTACTCTCCTGCGTGAAGCTATGACAACCTGGATGTTTACACAGTCCAGAATTGTAGGAACCATATTTAAAAGCGTTTCATCCCGAATCTTGATTCAGATTTCTAAAATACATTTTGAATGGAAGTAGTATTTTTGTGATTTTTAAAATTTCACAGTCTCTGAAAATAAATGTTTCATTTTGCAGTTGGGTAGTTAATCAGGAAAGGAAGCTTCCTCATCCCCCCATTTTCAGAGTAAATGGAATTTTGAATTTGTAAATAGGTAGATAGCTTGAGTGGCTGCACAATGGTGGCAGCTCCATTGTTTTAGGATTTGTGACTTTAAGACCAGATGAATTTGGTTAAGCAAGCTGAAGTGAATTTGGATCCCTTTCAGTGTATGGGAGATAAACTACCATAACCCCTTCTGAACAGATAGATTGCTTCCACAGCCCATTGGCCTTTCTGCTTTGAAAGACCCTTCCTCAGGCATAGACCCTTCCCAGACTTAGGGGAATATATTTTACTTCCCCAGAGAACTTTTGTCTAGCAGTTTCTTTTCTCCATGAAATCCTGTCAGGGATACCAAACTAGGAAGGTGGAAACAAGCTGTACTTCTCACCAACCACCTCCATCCTGTTTTCTTCTCCTACCCTTCTTAAAAGTATCCAGCCAAAACCCATAGGTAAATTTACCCCAAATGTGTAGCTGCTTATGTTTCTAAGTTTGAAGCAGCATAATTCACACATTTCATGCCTCAAAATTCCTAGGAGCTTCCAGTTAGTACAGTTGGCCAAGGAAATTGTTTTAAATACTGAAGGCACATGAATGTTGAAAAGATATTGACTAATGGTGAATAAAAGTACATAAAACAGAAGCAGTGGGACAGTAGCAGTCAATTCAGAACAGCATATTAACAGTATGCATGTCTGTCTCTATTAGATGCATGTTACCTGTGTCTCTAAATCAAAAGGTTTTAATTAACTATTGAAAGGAAATTTATGTAGCTTCCTGGGTTTGTGTGCTACTAACATCTTGGCACTTAGATGTTTTGAAACTGCTCAGTCTTGCATAAAGTGGTAGAACTAAATGTGTTTGTAAAATTCCATGGTGCCATGAGAACCCCAAAAGAGCCAGCATAATTAGCTTCAGTATTTAGTTAAAGGGTAATGGGGAAGAAATGGATTATGGTTCTTCATCAGATTAGTTCAGGCAGATATGTAAGAAAAAAAAGAAAAGGTAACTCATGCTATTCTAAAACGATGTTATAACTGTTCAGTTTTAGAAAGAGTGGTTGCCCAATGTGAATAAGGCACTGGACTTTACATATTTAGATTTAGTTTCAGGCACCACCAGGGCTAATTGTCATGAACCAACGGATCTTTGCCTTGGTTTTGATCTTTACTAGATTTTCTAGTTCTCTTTATATACTTTGGTTCTTTATGACAATTGAATGTACTAACAGCTTTATAGTCAAGAGTTTAGAAGGTATATAGCTCAAGTCTAACATGTTGGGAATTTGGACTATAATTTCTGAGCCAAACTTTTATTTTGTAAATTTGGTTTAAACACAGCTAATACTATTTATATATTGCCAACACAGTTGTGTCACTGGCACTGTGGTAAATTTTTAACATATTTGTGCCTAGGGAAGACAGTCTGTAATTTCAAGTAGTATATTTCCTAGCATTCTTCAAAAAGGCATTGCATGTTTTCCAGTACTAATTTGATGGGTGGTAAATCCTTAATGCAAAACTTAAAATTCAAATTAAGACCCCTCTCCTCAATGAAAACTTCGTTAATAAATTAACTCTGGAATTTCTCTGAAATTTATAATACATACTTAGTACATATTTTCATTAAGTTTGAAATTCTTTTTTAAATTAAAATAATTGGTCATATTTTTTTAAAACTTCCATTTATGTTGTCCATAACTTTAAAAAGCAGTTGTAGAATACTGAGGCAAAGATTTAAAATAACACCATGAAGATTTTAGAAAAATAATCCATTTCCCCATTTACCCCAACCCTTTATCCTTTTTTTTTTTAAAATCAAGAAACCTTTTGGGAGCCTACACAAAGATCCTACACTGTGCTTTATTTTAGTCCTTTAGGATTAAAGCCCTAATCCTAATTACAGGATGGACAATTTTTTTTCATTTCCTGGAATTATGGAGAATTCTTGAGTAATAGGGGCTGAATACAGTCAAAGTGTCAGAGGGGATTCCTCCCTTCTCAGACTGGAATCCCCACCAATCTGAAAAGTTGGGGAACTGGGGGTGTTGCTGACACCCAGCTTCAGGTCTGTTAGGTAAGGCTTTAGGACCAGTCAGCTGTGGGATCATGGTTTTCTTCTCTATGTTTCTCAAAACAGGCTTTAGTTTTTTATTCCAGATATATTTATAAAGTCATAAGTTTAAATAGAATTTTCACATTGATGGTTTATGGTTTAAAAACAATCATGACTTAGCACTAGCCTTAGGTTGTTCTTGAGTCTATCATCTATGTTAACAATTGACAATTAACCCTTTTATTAAAGATCAAATGTAGGAATAATCTACCTGGACACATTAAAACAAAATAATTTTATTTTGGAACTTAGCTTTCCAGTTTATTTATATGGTTAATTGTGGCATGGAAGATAATATTTGCAAATTAATAAAAGCCACGATTTGAAGACCTGACCCTGAAGGAGCTTAGGTACCCTTGCCTTTTCTGCTTACTCTGCTCTGAAATATACTCACTATGGAAAAATAGGCAAATGTGAGATTTCCCTCTCTTAGGACCTTTCTCAGAGCAGGTAGATCAAGGAGTGTTTATGAAAGTTTATGACTTTTAACAAGTAGGTGAATAAATTAAGATTTCAACAGTGTGAGTACAGAAGTAGATGCTGACTGTCGAACATTAATATACAAAAGCAAGAAGAGATTGTTAATATATTATCCATTACGTTCAGCTTAACCTTCTGTAAGCTATTGATAATTTTTTTGAGTGAAATATTCTGTCTTCCTCTTACCAGGTAACCTAGATTCATGTAAGAGAGCTGTATATAGGGCTTAGAACCTAGTTGAGGGTGTGAAAAGGGGTAAAAAAATAAATAATGCATTTTCAACTCAATGCATCTGTATTTCATAGGTGAACTAGTAAACTAAAGCATCTGGAGAAATTTATCCTAGTATTTCACATGTGTAAAAGTGCCTTTGCAGGAGATCTGATTGTGTTAGGATCAACTGGAGAATTCACATATTTGTATTAAATTACATTATAAGCTATGGTAGTACAAATTCTTTACTAAAGACAGTTTAAACTATGTGTCTCAAGGTCAGGGGAGGAATACCTCCAGATCAGTGTGAGTGATGAGGAATAGATCAAAACTGTACAGGAACAGATCAAAACTGTACAGGAACCTGCTTACACCCTACAACCCAGTACAGAACCTGTGGCCTTTAGGTTCTTTATAACCTACAAAACCATAAATACTTGTTTGTCAAAGATGAGTTTTGATTGCCAAAGTAGGAGCAGCCACTATATGGGTTCCAGAGACACAAATGCCTCACCCCTGCGTAGATAAAAATGATAAAGCAGAAACCAGTGATTGATAGTTTAAAGGGGATTCTTTGAGCAAAAAAGTCTTGACTTTTCCCTCAGTGTTCTCAGACTAGCACCTTGGTTAGTGGTAAGTAATCGACCTACCCACCTCTCTCCCTTCACTCCTGAATCTGTTTAAAGGTTCTTTATACAAACTGAAAATCATTTTTTCTCTTAAAAACAACATGCCTTAAGAATTATAACTCTGATTTTTAAAAGTAACAATAGGCTTTCAGTCATAAAGTGTTGTATCTGGATGAGACCTTAGATAGCTCAGCTTGTTCATTTTACAGTGGAGGCAACTGGGACACAAAGATTGTTCTGGAAATCACGTTGTCAATTAGTGATAGAGTTGAGTTGAGAAAGGAAGCCTAATTCTTGGTGAGTATTGCTCACTGTCCTGACACAACTTGCCTGCTAAATAAAATGTCAAAGAAGTACATGAATTGTCCATATTCATTATGTTAAAAAACAAAATTCATCCATGTGAATCTG